CCCCTTAAGCACCAACCTCAAGCCAGTTAAAACTAAAATCCCTAACCCAACCCAAGATGAATCAACCCTAAACCAACTCTAAACCAGCCCTAGCACAACCCCAAACCAGCCCTAAGACCACCCCAAACCGACCCTAACCACCCCAAACCAACCCTAACCACCCGAGCCCAACCCCAAACCAGCAGCCCAAGAGTACACTCCACCCACCACCTCCCCCTCCAAGGCCCGGACAACGTGAAGGCGCGGGGCAAGGGTACTTGGCCCACCCGCCTCGCCCCAGAGTCCCACGGCCTCTGCGGCAACCCCGTGCAGGGCCAGAGCGCTTCGCCGAAAAGCTGCCACGGAGATGTTGACCCAGGATTAATTAGCCCGTCCCATTATTAGGGGTGTGTTCGCTCCAAAAGTGGTCTGAATCCCCACTAAAAGGGGATACCGCCCTATTCATCAACCACGGGTTTATTGATCCGGGGTTAACATGAATGTTGAACCCAAACAAACCAACCCCAGGTTATTGATACGCTGTCCCTGGGTTTAGTGGGGAATCATCACTATTGGAGGGGAACATCCCCTATTGACACACTGGGGGTGGTTCGTATGGGGTCAACATGACCTTTCGTGTGCTGTTCGGTTCGAACACCCTGTTGCTATGTTGTATCGGATCTTTGGACTTTAAGCTTTTTCGGACTGAAACAGTTCGGATTTTCAATTGGACCCTCAGAATGTTGTTTGCCTTTTGCAGAGAGGTCAACAGCAACCAAAAAGGTCACCAGGAAACCCACATTTTTTTGGGTCCCCTCAAAAAAGACGGGCATTTCCAGGTGCGAAAATGCTTGTTTTGTTTGGGTCACGCTCCAAAATGGTGGTTGAGTTGTTTGGTTTTGCGACCCCATCAAAGGTGTGTGTTTAACCTTTCAGTGTCCCTTAAAAACCCACACAGACACAGAGACACACAGAGACACGCAGACACACACACACACAGACACAGACACACACAGAGACACACACACACACACCAACATGAGTATCCAACAAAAAAGGCACAAAGAATTGGTTTTTGGAGCTTTGAATGCTGACCTGCTACCACGATAAGCTTGCAAGGCAGTAGGTGTCTCTTCTACACGTGGTGCAAAACCTCCATACCTTCAAAGCCATGTACCTAAAAATGCCCTTGAACACAGCTTTGCCGGCTGACCACCCTACTTAGCAAGTTGCCAATTTCGCCAGTTGGTAAGTTGTGTCTGCTTCGTCTAAATGCATGGTATGTGTTACGCTGACATACCGGGGGTGCACCAAATTTTAGATGTTTTGCATTGATTTTGTGTTCCTTTTCCAGGGGCCACCACTCTCTTGTGAAATATTTTGTCATTGGATCAGCCCCGTCGATAATACATGGGCTTGTTTGAAATAGGATTTAGGTGCCGCAAAGTGGGGCTTCTCTTTGGTCCCCCCCAGCCAAAAAGACACAAACGAGAACCACACACGGCGCTGGTTTCATTTTTTGTCACATGTGCAACCCGTCTATTCTGCAAGAATGACACCTAGGGCGACCCCACCAAACAGTGTAGAAACCCGGCCCCGTGGGTGGACAAAATTCTGCACCAGTGGGATGGAGAACTGGCATCCTTGAAACGATTAGAAGGGGGGTGTGAGAGGGGTGCGGTGCATGTAGAAAGGCAACGCTTGGATGTGGAGCCCAGCAAGTTGTTACCAACGCACCATCTTAGATCTTTGCCTGAGCCTAAACTCTACTGCTGTGGGGTTGGATCTTTAGACTTTAACTTTTTGGATTCCCCTCATATTTCCTTTTATCCAGCAAAAAGTGCAAAAAGTTAAACTTGCTGGGGGATCTACAGCACCCAAGTAAAATGAGAATCCATCTAAATCGTTTCATTTCGCCGAGCCGAGTTTCCCAACCACTCTGCCCGTGGTTCAACCCACGGGCTTGGCAGACCTGCCATCCCTCGGCGACTCGGGCCACGTGTTTTTTTTGGGGTCGTGGGATCCATCTCGGGGTTTCTCCCCGATACTTTTGGGAATCTCCCTCTTTTTCTTTGGGTTCGTCTCTCCCTCTCTTTATTTGGGTTCGGCTTTGGGTTCAGGCCGCCCTTTTGTTGTATCACAGAAGCCGTGGGTTCCATGGCAACCACCAGCCCCCGCTTTTTTTTGGGTGGTCCGAGGCAACCCGGTGAGCCTGGAGGACGAGACCTACCTGAAGAAAGGACCGATCACCGCCACGTACCAGCCCGGCCAGGTGGTGGAGTTTCAGGCTGGGTGTGGAGCCGGAGGCGTTTCCATGCGGGAAACCGCCCAGTTGGTGTTGGCGCGTCCTGGCCGCGGATGTTTGGTTGGGTCTCCAAAGCAAGGAATGAGCTCGGGTAGGCTACTATTGGTGTGTCTTCTTCGATGGCAACAGCTTTCCAGGTGGCCTTCCCCAGAAAGTCACAATCCTTTGGGTTACCAATTTTCAGACAGACCCCATGAACATGTGACCTGCCCCCCAACAACCTGGGCCCAGAGCTCCAATTGGCGTCATCGTTTCTGGGCTTCAGGCCTCCAGTGCCACGGGCAGTTCCCTGGTGCTGGTTTCCGGTGAAATGTTCAGCTGTGACGATCAAATCCGAGAGCCCTCCGTTCAAGAGTGGCGCTACGCGTGGCCATAAAAGTGTCGAGTGTCAGCTGATTTTTGTGGCTAATGCAATGCAGTTGAAGTGACCCTTGATGTCTGAGGTTATTCGAAGTTTCAGAGTGGCTTGTTTCTCTTGGGGTTCTAAAAATCACTTGTGGGAGTTGAGTTCTGCCGGAGACCTGCCCTTTGCTCGTTCTGACTGTACATTCGCCGAAACCCGAAGTCGGCCATACATTGATCGACCTTTCACCAGGCAGTATCTTCATTTTACCTATAGGTGTTATCAAGACATGTCCCAAAGAATCTGATCCACTCATCAGTTTCAAGTACATTTGTTTGGTCATGTGCAACCCATCTTGCCGAGAGTTGAACACCAGATCAAGTTGCCAGGCGCCGGGGCAAGGATCTCACAGTCAATTTGGTTCGGGTTTCAATGAGTGAACGTGCTCTTCTATTTGCTTAAGAATATGTATATATATATATATAAATGTTTCCCTCTTGGTTTTAAAGGGAATCTATCACTACTGGATGTTTTTTCCTTTTTCCAGGGGGCTTAAGCAAATGGAAGTGCTTAGGAGTTGCCCAGTTTCTGGACAAGCTGCGGGTTTGTGGACTTTGAATTGGTGGTGTTCCCTTGGCTTCCCGCTGGTAAACCGGCCGCAAAAGGAGAAACCTGGGAAGCACCAAGGGCAATGAAGAGATACATGGGGACCTTGGCACCACAATGGAAGTGCACTCCTTAGAAAGCAACTTTGCTTAGGGTTTAGCGCTTCAACCTTGCCGGAATTGCACCCCCTTCTCCAAATGCTTGAGGTGACTTCGAAAGATGGCTTCCCTCCTGTATATCTTCAAACCATCCAAACACACAGGATTGTTTTCCAGTTGCCCAGGATCAATTTCCCTCAAAGCGGTAGCTAATGGAGCCACCTAAAAAAATAGCATAAGGGACAATGACTGGCTTTTAGCGGTAACAGTTCCACTGGATTCACTCCCAAATCCATCCCAACAAGTGGCTCTTGCGGAGGTGAACGGGTGAACGGGTGAACATATCCAGCAGTCAAGGCTGTTCGGGGGTTCTCTGGGGAGACGGGGGCTCACTAGGCTCGAGCCTCGATTTCCTGGACTCACGTTTTGGAAGGCCATCTCACCCAGCCAGTAGACACACTTTACACTTGTTTCCCTGGTGGCTCTCCTTTTTTTACTAGTGGTGGCCCAAAAAGTGTACACTTATTCTTTGTTTTTGCCTGGCCACTGGCCAAGTGAGCCATTTTAGTGGTTAAACAAACAGTTTGGCATCGTTTTTGTTCGCGCAATCCGCTCAATTGGGTGCCCCATGTCCTTGCTGATGCACAGGTGGCCGTGAGCACCCACCACCAGGGCCACTACGAGTTTCGGATCTGTGACCGGGGCCTGGATTTCGAGCCGCTCGGGCTTTATCTGGTTAAAACCCGAACTTTTTGGTTAGAACTTTTGGTTATAACCTGAACTTTTTGGTTAAAACTTTTGAACTTTGGACCTGAACTTTTTGGTTAACACTTTTCCGCTACTGCTATTGGGTTGGATCTTTAGGCCTTAACTTTTGGGATACCCGTCATCTTTCCTTTTAACCTCCAACAAGTTAATCTTTTGCTGCGGAATCCACAGCACCCAAGAAACAGTGGAGTTTCCATTGGACCCACAAAAAGGTTAAACTGTTTGCAAGGGGATCAACAGCAACACAGGTTAGTAAGAGGTTGGCCACTTGGGGACTTCTTCACCTAATCACAAGGTTAACCCCACCGCACGAGGACTTACAAGTGGGTCATAGCCTAGGTTACCAACAACTCACTTGGCAACGGCAACCCAAACGAGTTGATTCCGCCCCTGACCCTTTACTTGGGATTCCTCATTCAGGGGTTCCTCAATTTCCCTTTTCAGGACCTCCAGAAGTGACAGTTTCAATGGACGCACCAGTAAGTTGCATCTTTTGGAGGCCGGCGACCCCTGCTGTTTCCAATATGTGAGTTGCAGCAATTTAAGGATAGCGACCGTCGGGAAGGTCCAGTGCATTCTTGAGTTGTTGGTTTGCTTTCCATGAAGTCAAGCACAAAGATGCCGATTCGCCAGGGCCAGCTTACACCATTCAAGAAGCAGCCCCTGGACTTGCGTCGGGTCATTCAAGTGTGTGGGACATAGACAGGTTGGACAATGCCAAGGCAGTAGTTTTGACCCAACCATTCAGAATCACAACGACGATCCCTCTAAGCATGGATGATTCAGAACATGGAACCCAAGAAACCCGAAACACGATTCCTCGAAAAATGGATGCCTTGTGGTTCCATGTCAAGCTGCAGTTCCTTGGGCTTCCTTGAAGTTCCTTGGGCTTATTCCTAGGATGCCTTGGCTCTCGGCCCTAGAGGGCCAGCAGTGCTTGGACCGCTGGCTGCTGCAGCGCGCGGAGCCCTTGGCGGACTGCGTGGTGAACGACGCGCGAGGGGACTGCCAGCCGCTGGATCCCAAGCACCCGGCAGCTCGGCGGCGCATTCGGTGCGCCCCCCCTCCCGTTATCAGGGAAACCCAATGTGGGAAAAACGGGCGGGGGGAGGGGGGAACCGATTTTGAGACACATCCAATGTGGGTGGCTCTTTTTTTTTTTTTTCGGAGTTGGTGCCCATCTTTGGTGGTGTTAAAGGGAAATCCCAAGGATACCTCTAGGGGTTGATTCCTTGTCCATTCTCTTCAGCCATCGTTCTTCTCAACAGCTGATCGCCATTTCTCCCGGGTTTTTAAGGTGGTTTTATAGAAAGAAGGATCCCTGGAAAGAATGGGGAAGTTACCCCTAGAACTCGCAGGGCTTCCCTCTTCCGCCCTTTTGGGCGGGGTCTGTGGCTGTGCTCCCAACAGCGCGAAGTTACCCTTGAAATTGTGGCCAAAAGAATCCCGAGAAAGAACACAGAAACGGCCCTGTTTTCTTCTCATGCCCAAAGGGTGATCCAGCACAACCATGGGGAACCTGCAGTAGGTCACATATTGACCACTGCCAACTTTGGATTTATCCCTGGAAGGCCAACCCAGAACAGCTTTCGAAGCGAAACACCTCAACATGTTCAAGAAGGTGTAAGAAGCAACACAAATCCCAAGTGATGTTCAAGAAAAGGAAGATGGGGAAACCCTGCCAGGGAAAAACAAAAAACGAAGCACCGCAAATTCCTGGGTGACATGGAACAAAACTACCTACCGGCTCAGGAGCGGTGGTACCTGCCGCCAGCGGGCAGCCAGACCCAGGTGGCGGGCAACGACTTTAATGACTCGATGGCCTCCAGCTATCCGAGCTCTGGGGAGGCGGATTCAGAATGGACGACCCATTGACCCATGCCTCCAGGGGGGTGGTATATCCTGTTGGTTCCTCCCCCCCCCCCAAAAAAAAGGAAAAAGAAAACAAGAAACAAACAACCAACCAACCAAACAAACAAACAAACCAAAAGGGATCAGACTAGCTTTGGAGAAAACATTCAGATCTGGATGTGTCCTGTTGTAGAAAGATTGGACCCGGTATCCCGCAAAAAAAAAACATCGACCGGAACTGGAAGCGAGTTGCCATTTAGGATTTGGAGCCCCCCAACATGCCCCAACGGCTTTTTCTCCTGGTTTCCCTTGACCGTAAACACATCCTCAACACAAGACACACCCCAAGACAATGTTATATCTCATGGTGAACTTTGATATGTGAAGCAAGATCTGATTTTCCGTGTAACGATGAAGGCCAAGTTGAATGGGTGCTCCTACTACCTGGCTTGGGGCATGATTGTCAGGCCATGGGTGTGTCCTTTGTAAAGTCTTTGCTAAAGGGCAGCCTTTTTCGGGTTGTCTTACAGGGACGCCAGCAGGAAACCAGTCTTTTGTGGGGCTCCGAGTCCAATTTTAAGGCACACCTAGATTTATAGTTTATCTCTCTCTCTCTCTCTCTCTGTCTCTCTCTCTCTCTCTCTCTCTGACTCTCTCTCTCTCCATATATATATATATACATAGATAATATGTTAGTATGTATATCTGCAAACACACACACACATATATATATACATAAAGAATGTGTTAGTATGTATATTTGCATACATACATACACACACATCTATATATATATATATACATGTATATATATATATATATATATATTTGCTGTACACATATACACACATCTATGTATCTATATATATACACATATAGTATATATATATATATGATATGTGTTTTGATGCAGGTGCATCGGATGCGCTACAAGATCCCGGAGGGCTTGACTTGCACGAGCTGCACACTACAGTGGCGACTCGGGCGGGAGGTCCTTTCGCCGGGATTTCCACCTATGGGCTCTTGTTGGCTGAGCTGAGTAATCAAACCTGCTACTCGTCTGACTGAACTTCCAATTGCCGGCCAAGCTATTTTGCCAAGGCATCAGCGAACGGGAAACCTCGGATGTATCAACCTGTCTGATTCCGCCATTTACCCATATGTCCAAAACCAATTTTTCATATTTTATGGGAGCCCCAAGTAAAAAGAGACATTTCAGTGAGCTCGTACTGGCCTTTTCACCAGAAGCAGAACCTCCCAAGAAAGCTGAGAACCGAACCCTTCTTGAAAGGTTGCGAGAATCTGTTCTGGGTGCTCCCAGAAGGGTTTTTCAGTCGAAGTCAGTTCTGTTCTGCCCTTAATGCCAGATGTGGCTTTCCTGGCTGCATCATGGATTAGGATTGGGGATCCCCTCCCATATTGAACCACCCGGTTCATGAGTTGCCTGCGGTGCTTCCTTTACCAAGGATTTTACTCACGCCTCACTGTTTGCATCCTTTGCCAAGGATGTTATCAACATCTGTTAAAGTCCCCCGCCCGGTCTTGAGAGGTGTGTGATTTTACAAGGCCTCCCAAATCTTATCTAGATGACGTCAGAGTTGGCGGGGCTGTAAAAAAGGGATGTGGCAAATGGGGGTTGAGGTACTGGTCCACCGGCAACAGCTGTTACTACGACGGGGACTACATCGACTACTTTCAGGGTATCGCAGCAGAGGGCTGGGATTCGGAGACGCCCAGGTTGCAGCCAATGCCCATGGGCACTGTACCTTTCTCGTTAGATCCCACCGGGGTACTCAGGTCTTGGCAGCGGGAACGCCCAGCTCATGCAAACATGGTGAGGAAAAGGGTTTCTGGGACCCTTTCACTCACTTCCTGAGTTCCCGGGCTTGATACTTTTTGGGAGGATAATTTTGGTGGTAAGCAAACAGTTTGGACTGTTTTGGGCCAATGAAGTGAGTTCAAGCTCAAACTTTCATGGGAGGGAGCTGCAAGAAACCCTTTGTACGCCCTTATTAACAACTTATTAAGGTGTTATTTAGGGCTTATTTGGGCTCCCTCCCCCTCCCCTCCCTCCCCTAGCCCCCCTAAAACTTGTTTTTTGTCAGCTCACTGAATGTCTCAAGCTGAGGAAGTGGCAGCCACTGGTTCTCCAGCCCTGGGTCTCCTGCGAGAACCGATGCTGCAACAATGAGCGCCATGCCTTTGGCGGGATGCGAAACGCTTCGTCGAGTCGATGTCGAGACCCAAAAAGGGGTCGGTCCCTTGGGGTCTGGGGGTCTGGGGGTCTGGGGGTCTGGGGGTCTGGGGGTCTGGGGGTCTGGGGGTCTGGGGGTCTGGGGGTCTGGGGGTCCAGTCCATGTGTACAAATAGTTTGAGGCCCCAAAGGCCATCAGGATCTACAGAGGGGTCCCGTTTTTGGTTGCGCCTGGGGCCATTCGCGACCAAAGGGGAATTGGTTTGCGACCAATCTTGCTCATGCAGTTTTTTAGGGGATTCCTTTTTTTTGGATTGGCGATGGTCTTAATTCACCCAAACTGGGTCAATGCCATGTAACCACGCCACAGGTTGGGCTGGCCCTCATTCTGATTGCCAGATAGTCTTTGCGAGTTGCAGGCTGTCATGAGTTTCAGCTGGATTCTGTGGGGTCTCGTAGGGAGGGGGAAGGCATTACTTTGTATCCCCTTGTGGCTTTTGGGTTTGTTTGAAGGGGTCATACGCAGTTCCAGCAAGTATGCAAGAATGGACTCCCGCCATAGATCCCTTTCAAGGTGCTCGCTTAGAAATTCATTTACAGTTTGTGGCCATGAATGTCAGTAGGGGGCCACCTCAAAGTGACAGGTGTACATTTATCCCCGCTTGAATGATGTTCACCTAAGAGTCTCTAGCTAACTTCATGCCACGGTGGCAATTTGAGCCCAGGACCTTTGCCGAAGAGTTCTGGAATTGCGCGGACATTGCGGTGGTGTCCGGGGGCACGACCGAGTCCACCACAGCCACAGCATCCACCACTGCAGCATCCACCACGGCGGGCACAACATCCACTACGACCCTCGAAGCTGGGTGGCATTCTATCTCTGTCTTTCTCTAGGAGCACTCCAAATGGCTTTCCTGGCTGCCTATTTGGCTCCCTGAGTGCGTGCTTGAGTAGTTGTTGCCAAGCTGACGTCAACTATTGAAAGCCAGCTTTTGATTCAATGCCACCTGAATCCTGCACCACAGGATGCGTGAACCCTTGCCTATCATTGTCTTGCCTGTCGCAAGAAGGGAGCACGGCCCGGTACTCATCACAAAGGTATTGCTGACAGAGAGCTTGATCTAGCCAGATTCCTGTCCTACAGCAGCTTACCTTTGGTTTCTTTGCTGTCCTTACAGTGGTTAGTGGGTCAGTTTTAGACTACCTATTGAGTTGATCGAACCATAAACCCTAAAGTCTTGAACATGGTAGCCTCATTGTAAGTCCCCAAGTAGGTTATGTCGCATGCCTATACCCATATGGCCACTAAGCGCTGACTAAGTACCCGATTGCTCCTGAAAGCAGCCCAATGTTATATATGCATGGTTGCTGTACCTAGGCCCGGCCCCTTCAAGCAGTCTATGTGTGTGTGTGTGTTTGTCACTGCCGTATCTTTACTGACGCATCTACAGGGAATTGCCCCATCTAGTTGCACCTTGGTGAAGGTTACAAAGGCTTATTCAGCCATTACAAAGGCTTTTTCTCACTTCCTGAGTTCCTGGACTTGATCCTTCTCGGGAAACAGGAAGCTTGGCAACCTTCTTTTGGCCAGTCCACTCGCTCGGAAGTGCGTTGATGGTCCCCTTTAGGGCGCTTCCTTTGCGCCGGTGGATGGCGGAGAGGGCCGCGCCTGCCGCGGCGCAACTGCCTCTGCGACTTGGCCACCCGAAGCCCTCCCTCCCCCCAAAACCGTGTGGGGGGGGGGTATCTTTTTTGAGGGTACCCCCCTTTGTTTGGTGGTTTTTTGAAGGGAAACCAGGAGAACCCACCATTCTCGCGGTCCCCTTAAAAAACACACCCTGGTTTCTGGGGAGGGGATGGCTTATAAGGGTTGGATCCTGATTGCGAGTTTCGCTCACCCCGTCCAGTTGAGTATCCGTTTTGGGTTGGGAAGGGAGGATCTTGGAAATACAGCCCAAATAGGTGGTAGTGAGGGTCATTCCGAACCAAGCAAGAAGTGACTGAGATCTTCCAATCTAAGCCGGCAGCCGTCTTCCCAAATGAGCCACGGGCTTGTCAATCATATTCATGAATGGTTTCCATTGCATGCGGTCATGTCAGAAGCCTCGACCGACTGATTTAGACGGACTCCTCACCAGAAGCATGTGGCTTTGTGATGCATCTGAGTCTTTTGTTTTACGGTACCCTGTTTGGGGTGGTTCAATACGGGGTCCCCCGCATGTTCCGAGCACATCGCAGAACAGTAGAAGTGGTTGACTACAGGAAATTCCGCAAACAGAATCAGATCTTCGAGCGCTCGGAGGACAACGCAGTGAGCCACTACGATGTGGTCTCCGCAGAGTCGCTGGAGGAGTGCAAAGCCAAGTGCGTGGCGAACCAGGGGTGTGTGGGCATCGATCCTTGGAACTCAGTGAATGGCCTTCACTTTTTGGCACATGAGGATGTTTCCCGGTAGTCAGCCCAAACAATGTGTCCATTGAATTAACAAATGATAAAAAGAAAATACTTTGAATTACACTCTTTCACCAATCAGCCATGTTTCCATTGAATTAACCACACATGACAACAATACCATCACTTTTTCGCCCCAATCATCAAAAATACCTTCCTTTGAATCGAATGACACTTTTTCACCAATCAGTCAAGTTTCCATTGAATTAATTAACCACAAATGACAACAATACCTTCACTTTTTCGCCCCAATCAACAAAAATACATTCCTTTGAATCGAATGACACGTTTGCACCCATCAACCGAAAAGGGATGAGGTTTGCACAGCCGAGCGACTTCCTTTGGCCGAGGAATTCTCGGGGAAGCGCTGCGAGCTGTGGACACGCGCGGCGGGCATCGAGGCCTCCATCCCTTTGAACGGCTTCACATGCCTGCGCCGGGCTGGGCTCACCACCACGGAGCCTCGAAGGAAGCAAGGAATGAGGGAGGGAAGCAAGAGAAACCGAAAGAAGGAAGAAAACAAGGAAGGAATGAAGAAAACAAGGAAGGAAGGAAGAAAACAAGGAAGGAAGGAAAGAAGGTTTGGGCTTGGATGCTGCGGATCAACATGGGCCTGTGTCATTTGAGGGTACCCTTGTCACCTTTGTTTGCAGCGAAAGGAAGCCCTTTTGCACGACTGCACATGGAACTTAAAATTCGCTTCCGCCAAAAAGGAGAGTCTACACGCAACTGTGGGGTGTTGGAGTTCTGTGTTACCCTTTGGGAGAACTCATTTGGGCCAATGGCGGGCTTATCTTGTTGTTTTGTTCCTTTTCTTTCTTGTGGGGGCGGTGGGGAAATCACAGGAACAACCGCGTAGGTTGGTGGTTTGCACTTGTGCGAGGCATGTATATGCTGGGACCATTTTTTGTTGGCACACAAAAGCACGGTTCACCAAGAAAGTGTGACAGACAGGCAACCAGTCGCCACGGGTTTTCCTTTAGAGGGAAAACATCAGATGAGTTGATCGAAGAATAGGGGCTCAATGTTCAAGCAGGCTGGCCGAACTCCGCTTCTGAGTTTTTCCAAGTCGTGGCAGCGGAGAGAATGAATGCCTCCTCCCGGTATGGTGACATGGGTGTTCTCCAAATCCGGAAACCCCAATATAAGGTTGGTCCCTTTTGGTTCCCCTTTGAAGTCACAGACAGGGGTCCACCATTGTGAGAACCATTATGTTCTTGTTACCGCTTTCCTTTGAGGCCACATTTGCTTCCTTTGCCTTAAGGATATGTGCTTTTTTGTTTCCCGTTGGTTTTAAAGGGAATCGATTTCACTTGGACATATTGGCGATTTTTTCCTCGGAACTCAGTCATTGCACCAATGCCATTTTCTTTTTTTGGAAGGGGGCCTTGGGTCAGGGGCAATGCGTATTAAGTATTCTAGGGGTTGATGCCCCATTCTTTTCAACCATCGTTCTTTCCAAAAATCGGCTGTTTCCCCTGGGTTTTCGGAGGTTTTCGGACCCTGGAAAGAATGGGGAAGGTACCCCTAGAGGTATACCTTAATGGTTCGGATTTGGATTCGAACCCCTGGTTCTTGTGGGCAAATGGGACACCATCCCGGAAGGCCCAATCCAAACCCACCCTGGAGGGAAGCTGAGAGTATGCCACGAAGCCACTTGAAGGTCAAGGACCAGCAATCTTGTGCCCCAGTTGGTTTTGGGGTGAACCTCCCCGGCGCCTAAGCTCCCCCCTCCCCCCCTTTGTTTCCAAAGGTGCGAACTTATGCAGTTCAGCTAGGCGGAAGAAGGAGTTAAGGGAGGGTTTGACTTGGATGCTTTGAAGAAGGCGTTTCCAAGGATCCTCCCTCAAACTGCGGAAAATGGTGTTTCCAAGCGGTTCAAGCGATGCAGCCACTTTTTAAATTGTGCAACCGCTGGACAAAGCAGGGGGTTTTGATCCTCGGTCCCTACAACTGGATCTTTGGCCTTGACTAAATTGTGATGCTCGTCAAGATGTAGTTCCTTGTTTTCAGCTTGAACGCTGAGGGTTTCTCTGTTCCGAGGGTACCCTCTTTGGAGTGAGGACACCAGCCATGGTCGGGTGGCCAATTCCTATGTTAGGACACCCCACCAACAGTCTCCGAACTGAGGCGCCTCCGGATATGGGCACCTTCCTTCCCGTGGACGGCGGCCAAGACCGCGCCTGCCGCGGTGCCAGCGTCAATGACAACAACCCCCAGCACTACACGGCGCGGGGCTTGGGTCCCGTCACGATGTGTTCGGGGGGATGGGGCGAATTTTGTTAGAACTGGCCCCTTTTGAGGGAAGCACAAGAAGCGTCCCTGCTGAGAATGGGAAAGGCAAAATGGCTGAAAACGGGGTCCAATTTTTGTTCTATCAGTGTCGCTGGGCAACCTGAGGGTGGTGCCGGAAACACTTCGGATGATGACTGAACCCCTGGTTGAGACAGAGGGGGTGAAATGCATAGTGAGATCTGGATCGCATGGCCCAGAGAACAAACATGGCCCAGAGGCGAGGGGTGTTCAAATCCTACCATGGGACACAAATGGGTGTTGTGTGCACCTGACAAACATGGGGCACCTACGGCCGGTCACAGAATGTTTACATCCTCGTTGTTTTTGCCCTTGGGGCCTTTGGGGTCTAGTTTTTTGACCCCCTCAATAGCTGGCGTGCCATTGCGGGGGGGCCGTGCATGCACGGGCCCGCCCGTCCCAAGGTGCAGGCCGCGTTAAGCATCCCAGTTAGATATACACGGGGTGCACAGCTTCTCTTCTCTTACGGACTTGTTGAGGTGGCAAGCTTTAGGCTTTTTTGTGGGTTGTTTCTTCATTTCTGCCTCAAGCAGTTCAAGCGTTTTTTTGACAGGCCAGCTTGGCAGGACAGTTTCAGGGTACGACACTCCACACGGGCTACGGACTTTCCTGAAAGATCAGGCGTGCGTAAGACCCAGGGTGCCAGGGGTAAAGTGCTTAAGAGCGCCTGCACAAGGTTAATGAAGAACCCATGTAGCGATTGGCCAGCCCAGCTGGCCCTCTTCAGTTGACTTTGCTTACTTCAAGGGGCGGTGTACTTTGCAAGTGCTTAGCAACCATTGGTTGTGGCCTGCTTAGGAACTTACGACCATGGTAAGTTTGTGATAATCCAAGCGACTACGTAACAATATGCAAAGTACCCTGTCGCTTTGCGTAGCATTGCGTCCTTCAGCACACGGGGAATTGGCGACCCCGGGTTAATCCAGTAAAGCCATGGTGTCACCAACAAAAGGGATCCGGATTCCCACCGGAGGCTTAACGGACACCTTTCGATCAAAATTAACCAGGGTCAACATATTTATAACTCCCCAACCTGAATGTTGGGGATTTTCTAAGGGAGCTTCTGGCTGGGTGAGGGGGGAAGAGGGCAGTCTGTATCGAGAGGGGTTATGAATCTGGCATTATCGTTGGTGCACCCGCCGACAGGTGCACGCAGCTTCGTCACTGAACAGCTGCAAGCTGAAGTGCGCCCAGAGCGGCGGAAACTAAGCTGCGAGTTGGTCCATTTCGGTTCCCTGCCCCCCCCCCCCCCCCCACAAAAAAGCTGGAACTCTCAAGGGGTCCCCCCTGACTTCCCCATTCTGAACCCAGGCACCCTTCGTTCTGCGAAGCCAAAGCAAGTGTGCCAAGTTTTTACGCTCGGGCTGTTTGGTATGGTTTCCCGTTGATCTCGAGCTCACCCATGAAGGCCTACCTGGAGACTCCAACTCCCGGTTTGTGAACTAATGTTGACCCCATATTAATCAACTCAGTTAATTAGTAGGGGGTGTCCATTTGTGGGTTTAGTGGGAAGCCATCACCTTTGAAGGGGAGCACCTCCCCCTAATAAGCTGGTTGGTTGATCTTAATGTTGCCCCAGGATTAATACACCCGTCCCATTATTAGGGGTTCCTCCAAAAGTGGTCTGAATCTCCACTAAAAGGAATTCGGAATGGGACACCCCCGAGTTTAAATCAGCCAGGGGTTCTGCTGAATTCGGGGTCATGTGGGGCCAACCAGTTTTGCTGGGCCGCGTGACGTGCGGACAACTCATTCAGAACTTCGAACGGCCCTCATGTAGCCGTGCTCCATTGGAGCCTGGAGCTGCCAAAGACAGAAAAAGAAACCAGGTTGCCCAAAACCACATGGCTTTGTACAGAACAGGCCAGGTTTTGGGAGATGGATGGAGTTGTGTGGTTTGTTCTTGATGTTGGAGGGGAGTCAAGAGGTCACTGGACACCCTTTCAATCGGTCGAACGCCTCTTGGCTTGGCTGCTATTGGCCCAGGTCTTTGCCAGACCGTTTGGGTGGAATCGGTGAATTCATCTGCCCCAGAACCAAGCTTTAAAGACTGGTGGGGGTAAGAAAAAGGGGCCACCAAGTTGGGTTTGGCGGGTCCGAGACCCAACAAAAACAAAAGCGACATTTGAATAGTTTGCCCATGTGCTGAGGATGCGTGGGTATCGAGTTCTCAGCTACGAGGCGCAAAGTCGACGAGCTGGTCGCGACAGGAAGAATTCCCTTTGGGTAAGCAAGGGGGATGACTAAGCCAAACTGGGGTGAGGTGTGACATCTAGTTTCACGTGAAAAACCTGAGAATGCAATCTGGGTGTTTCTTTTTGGATATCATCGCAACAATTATACTAAAACTATGGAACAGGGTCAGAAAATATGATTAATTGTGTACCCTGGATGTCCAAGTTTAAAAAAAGGGACGGATTTTGTATTTGGGAAGCGGCAGGTGCGAGGTGTGGAGCCGCAAGATCGAGGCGACCAAAGAGCTGCCGGGCTTTCAGTGCTTCAGCTATGCGGCGCCTCAGTCGCGAGACCGCCGCCGGAGGTTTCGCCTTCGGATGGCCATCTTCACTGTAGGCGGATAAACCATGTACCCTCCCACCAAGTAACATGGGACCTAGCACAGGGGGGGTCCCTTGAAAAGGAAAATGGTCTTCCAGGACCCCCCGAACGTCAGGTTCCATGTTAATTTGGTGGGAGGGTAGATAAAATGAAGGCTGACACTTCGAGGACTGTAAACTATCATTTCACTGGCAAATGTGCGTCTTCTTCTGTTTCGGCTGCCTTGGGTGGGACACCAAAAGGAAGACTGGCATTTTTTTTGGCTACTGCAATAGGTTAGCTGAGCTTGCAAGCACCCCAGCTGGTTTTTCCTATCTCCTTTGGGCTTGTCTCAAAAATTGGGACCCGCAGTAGCTGCTTAGCTCACTCCTTTTGCTGGTTGAAGCCTTTATAGGAAGAGGGGTTGACTGGAGCTTGCGAGACCTTGTGCCATTATTGGGATTTCACCTGCACTGTCTGGTGGGCTCCCGACAAAACATGGAATCAACACCAACAAGGGTTCCAAATCTTTTTCAACCAGGGCCAACTTGCACTGATTTTGATGGTCAATTTGGGAGAGACATGGGCTCACGTTGCGCCCATTTTGGTGTCTGCATTGGTCCGTGTCTCAATGCCGGCCTTTTGTTCGAAATCTCAAGCGCAGGCCTTGCCACGGCACCCTGGCTAGAGCTACAGGACAAAGGGTGGACTAAAAACGTGATACGTGCTACGGTAAAAGGCCGGCTCCTTTACTGGGAACAAACAGGGATGGTCATCAACCTGATAAGGATCCCAAATCTCTACCGCTATTGGGTTGGATCTTCAGACTTTAACTTTTTTGGATTCCCTTCATATTTCCTCAAGTTAAACTTTATGCTGTGGGATCTACAGCACCCAAGTAATGACTGCTATATAATGATTCCTGTTAAGGAAGCCATGATAGGCCATATTCGGAGTTTTGACCGTGGCTCATATTTGGGTCAAAGTTTCCAGTCACTGGTGGCTCTGACAAGGATTTTTGTTTCAGTTTGACAGAAGATGGAGATAATCTGACAGAAACGAACACGCTAATCATGGCTGACCTTAGCCCTTACTTAGACCTTTTGGCAAGAACTGGCTCTGTCCTTTTTTGTTAAGGGGGGGGGGCCGGGCGGTTCCCCATTTTTTTGCTTTTTAAGGGAAACCACAGGACAACCGTTACGCCATTTCGAGGGGCCCCATTCCTGAAAAACAGACACCCAAACGGCGTTTCCATTAAGCCCACAAAAGGCTAGATCCCCCAGTAGAGCCCTTTTACCCCTTTTTTGGGGGAGGGTTTTTGCTACTAACATAGACTACAAAGCAAAGGGTACCCTTATTCTAAGCTCTCTACTGGAAGGCCTCGAAGGTGATCGACCTGCTTGGGCCGATGGTTTTTGACGCCTGCCTTAGGAGTCGGAGACGGCCACAACCACTTCGGGCACCTCGATGGGGTGCTCCAAAGCCTGGGAAGCCGCGTGGCCCAGAAATTTAGCTCGGCGTGTTCCCTTTTTCCCCATGCTGGGGTGAAATTATCATTTTTTGGGAAGGCCTGATCCCAGGAATGTGTGTATAAATGTGGGTCGTCGTTTGGAAAGCATGTCACGCAGACTTTGAACATATGTCCTGACCCTTGTGTGTGTGTCCAGGGAAAACCGTGGTTCTGGTGGGGAAAAACGGGCACCACGGCCAAACACCCCCCAAACCAACCCAAAACCTCCAAGAGGACAACTGAACAAACAAATATGAAGGGACGAGTCAAATAGTTTACATCTACAATTGGCAGCAGAGTCTTTCATACCCCAACACCCCGTTATATCGGCCCTTGGGTGTGAATTTCAACAGACCCTTGGTGGACATCAAAAGGTGGGATTCATGTCCAACCATGTTCCTTGAAGTAGCGAGCCATGCCACGGCAGCGAAACAGATGTAGAAACCACTGTGAGCATAGGTGTCCTTTTTAGGTTAGTTTGGTTAAAGTAAAAGGCACTGGTTTCGATGGGTGATCCCATTTGCCAGGGCCAGCTATTTTTCCAAAAGGACACCTATTGCTGTGAGGCGGTCCGACTCTGAAAAATTGATGGCATTCGCTTGTCAGGCCTGCGGAGGGCAGAATTGGGATGGTCCCACCTGCTGCGAATCCGGCTACATGTGCACCGAGGAGAGAGCGGAATTTACGACGTGACCGTGGTGGTGATTTGTTCATGTTGTTTCCTCCACGGTTTGAACATCACCTGTGAAGGTCTCCTAAAAGGATGCACTTTGGCTAAGTGAAACACCTTGGCAGCTATTTCAAAGGGCGTCTATGTGTACCAGGTGATTTTAGGTTTCATCCTGGGATTTTATTTGGGGCTAATATAGACTAAGCCTCGGACAGTTCGAACCCTGCACGGTTTGGAGAGCATGGGGAGCTCACAGTC